CTTTCAGCAAAAGGACACAAAATCAACGTACAAAAAGCTGCCATTTTTTTTAACACCAGCAATGAATACATACAGTGATAGCCATGATTTCCCACACAGGCCCTGAAAAAGTATTAAAAAAAAAAAACAAAAGCTGTGGAATGAATGTTTCTGGTGAATCCATTTATCCACACGTGCAAGCATGATACTAGATCCACAGCTCTCACTCCGTACCAAATGGACCAGAGAGTTAACGTAAGGCTTGCAATAGCCGGAGGAAAGCGTAGATGACACCAGAGAGGAGGGGCCTTTCTGAGAATATGGCTCTAGCTCGGGGATAACACCAAGCTATGAAAATAAATGCTCCTGCACGGCATTTGGGACACGTCCCGGAGAGAAGCAGTGGCCTGCCGAACAGAAGAAACCATTCTCCTGCAACTGATCTGTCAGGGGACTGTCCCAGGTTGCTTCTCTGTGGCTGTGACATAAACCCTGACCCAAATCACCCATGAGGGAGGAAGGGCTAATTTCCACTTACAGGCTGCTGTCTATCCCAGGGAAGCTGAGGAACTCAAGCTGCAGCTTCAAGCAAACGCCGTGGAGGAACATTGCTTACTGCCCTGCTTTCCCTGGCTCATACAACCCAGGTCCACCTGCCCAGCAATGTCCCCACCTGCAGTGGGCTGGCCCCTCCTACATCAATTGACAATCAAGAAAATGCCCCACACATGTGCCTACAAGCCGTCAGATCTAGGCAATCCCTCAAAGGTGATTTCCCTCTCCTCCAGGTATGTGTGGGTTGTGCCAAGTTATCAAAAACCAGAGTGGGGACTAATGTCCATAAATATATAAAAAGCTCAAAACATTAAACAAAAACCCAGTCAACAGATGGACAGTTTTCAAATGAAGAAATACATTTTCCATGAAAAAAAAAACATTAAACACATTTTGCCATTAGGTAGCTCAATGAGAAATCCACCCAAGTGAGGCGTGGTGCTCTGCCTACGCTTGGGAGGCCTAGGAAGAAGGACATGGGTTCAAGGTCAGGGTGGGCACAATGAGTAGTGTGGTCCAGTGAGTCACACACACAGTATACCCCTTGGTCCATACACGTTTACTTGTAAGTGTCCATCACAATGGATCGTTGGTCTGCTTTGAGGCCTCTGGCTTCTGCTACACTGTGGGTACTGGGCCGTCACTGGACTCCTCTTGGGTATCTTACTGTTGTCTTGTGTCATGGAGATCATGTAGCTTTGGACCCGCAGGTCTAGCCCCTTCATATGCTCCAGCAGTTTATAGATAAGGTGGGTGTTGGCGTGGGCTACCTTACAGTCCTGGTTCTGGGCCTGGGTGGTAGCTGGGTTGGTCAGCCTGCCGGGTTTTTTCCAGCTTTCCAGCACTGCTCACCCAGTGTAGCAGACAGTAAGGAGTGGGATCAGTTCTCCTGCCCTCACATCCTCGGGTCCAGCTCACCACCAGGGCCAGCTCTACCATTTGCCCAGGCAAGGTGCAGGATACAGGGTGAGGGCCCGCTCTCCAGATAGCTGCACTTGGTGAGGAGGAAGAGCCAGCTCTCCCGAAACCAGGACTAGCTCTCTTACCTGCCGAAGGCAGCAAGGGATGAGGGGCGAGGAGAGAGAGGGTATTTTTTCCTCATCCATGCTACCATGTGGCCGATAGGGGGGGTGCATGGTCAGTCCTCTTGCTCTCTCTCATGCCCCTCTGCCACTGCCTGCTTACCTGGGACCCCAACAACAGAGTCAGCTCTATTGTATTGCTGGGGCAAGGTGGTGCTGGGCCTGCTCTCCTGACTGCTGCTGCCGGTGAGGGACAGTGCCAGTTCCCTATTCTCGTGGCCTCAGGGTACGTGTCACAGGTACGTGTCACATCTCTCCCTTGTCCACTCCACCGTATGGCAAATGAAGCGTGGAGACGGCTCTCCTACTTATATTCGAACTGCTCAGTCTTCGACAGGGTGGGGTCTACTAGGCTACCCCGGCTAGGTGCAAGCCCCCCGTGAGGGGCGGGATCAGCGCTCCTATTCTCGTGACCCTGGGACCAGCTTTTCCCTCCAATTTCCAATTCAGGTCGTTTAGGTCATCGTGGACCCAAAGACAGCAAGATCCTCAAACCCCCACACGGCCCCGCCCCAGGTGCAGGACCAGATCCCGGGCATCCACACAGCCTTGGATGGCAACAGGAGCCTTAGACCTCAGCACAAGGTCCTGTTTACAGCAGGGCCACAGACCCAGACATGGGCCTGGCCGGCAATTCAGGCCCGCACAATGCCCTGATCCCAGGCAGCAGAGCTTGTTACGGAGGCTCGACAGCAGCAGAGCCCTGGGTCACCAAGAAGGCCATCGGTGGAGGCCCAGGTCCTAGGCATCAGTGTGACCTTTGGTGACAACGCTGCAAGCCCACCTTAAAGTACCCGCCTATTCTTCAAAAGATACTTGGTGAGCACTACTTAGGAAGACACTCCTGCACGGCGCGCACATTTGAGGGAGACAAGCTAAAAGCTGGGTTCCGAGCACATCAGAAGGGCAGGACCCCAGGCACAGCTGCCCTCTGCTGATCTCCCGCGGGGAGGAGCGAGCTTCAAGCTACTGTTCCGGCTGCACTAATTGCCTAGATTTTATGATGCGGATAAACAAAGCCGACTGCTCTTTAGTTTACAAGCTGGAGACAGGCTCGATTTATTATTGCTTTTAAACTTTGCATTTCCCCCAACGAACAGTCAGTCTTATGTGCGGGTGTCTCTCCGGCTCTAATGTTCTCTCAGCCCCTCGAACTCACCACAACCCCCGGCTGTCCGTAGATCTGGACAGACCTGAAGCTTCGCGTTTCTCGAGAGACCCCAAGTGGCTCTGATTTGCTGTTTCCCAGATCGACGCTTTGAGCACCCGTCGGGGTCACGGACAGACACTCCTGTGGTCCCCAACTCTGCTCATGCCGGCTCCACGCAGACCGCTCCTCGGTGATGGGCATGAAGCTGCCACGCCCCACATCAGCAATGACAAAATTTCCCAGCTTTTGTCCAAGTGAAATAGATCCCGGGGTGGGGGGAGGAGGGGGTGGAAGTCTTTTAAGTTTGTATGAACTTTTATTTCTAATTATAAGGCTTTCATTTTTTTTAAAGAGCCCTAAGGGTAGAATTGGTTTTAAATTCATCAACTGCTTTCACTTAAAGAGAATTAGGGGTTCCCTGAGTTTGACAGGCACTTAACTGTACAAAAGCCAGAAAAAGAGAGTTCAGTTTCTCAGCCCCATAGTCCACTATAATTAAATCCTTACTAATTCAGATTAGAGCAGTTCTACAGGGATGCTGAAGTTTTTAATATTGGGGCTTTAGGTTTAGCTAATGAAACTAATCAAATTGTTTTGTAATAAACAGAGCCCCCTGACAAGAAAAATAGTTTCTAGATGCACAGGACGAAGGCTTTCATCTCATTTATCACTGAGAAAACACGAATAGTTTCAATTCTCTTTTGTCGCCCTGACTCAGTAAATGAACTAAAATGATTAACTTGGTCTAGCCTCATCAAAACACACAAGGTACATTATAAAGCCCCCTAGGAAGAGAGGACTCTTTCCCAGAAGGTGATTCGGTAATTTCAAGAAAATATCCTATACCCTAAGGCCACATCAACACTTCTAGGAACCAAAGTCTGTCTTTGATGCATAAAACTTTCATCATTATGACTTTTGAATCTCCGCATCACGTTGGGGAAATTACAAGAAGTAGAAATGTGCTCACAGCGGCATCCTCACACACTTTCAAAAGACGGTTACCTATTATACACAACTTTTTCCCATTTTGTGAGGGTGAGCCAGAAATTCATGTGCCAACTCCCTGTCGTTAAGTAGTGTTTTTTTTCTTCCATTATTTCATAACGTCTTGGCCAAACTGTCACCAGGAACTCTGTCCAACCCAGCAACCGGTTTAAGGTTGGGCCTGTAGACAGAGCTTGAAATCAGGGAATCAAGACCTGCGTGGCATTAATCCAAGCTCACACTCTCCCCTAAAACAGATCTATTTCCAGAAAAGCCCACAAGATAGGTAGCAAACTCCTTTGTGACCGCAGGTCTTCGCATGAACTGTCCTTGTTAGTCCTCGAAGGCTGAGTGGCCAGGTACCTGCCCCACTGCGGAACAAGAGGCTTTCGGCGTCCGGTCTCTCTGTTTTGTTCATTTGCTCCTTTGTTCTCCTTGTGTCCCTCGCTGAATGACATCTTCGTCGAAGTCTGTCACTCCTCCCTGGCCAGCCGTACGTAATCACACCGTCCGGATAGTAAAGAAAGCAGGCCTCCCCAGAAGGAAAGGAAGCCTGGAGCGATCTGACCCGGATCTCACAAGCAGGACCTGCTGCCTCCTCCCTTCTCTTGTCTGGTTTCTGTGAGCATCTGTTTCCAGGTGCGTGGCCCGGAAGGAGGTGCAGAGAGGGCAAATAAGGCACAAAGGAGAAGACAGGACCAAGCAAGTGCTTCTGTGGGCGTTTTATCAGTAACCACTGACGCTGGCGTGCAAAGGAGTGGGTTGTCTTACGTTCTGTTTTGTCCTCAGTCACCCACCTCCCCCTCTCGGCACTCCATCACCCCTGCCCAACTCTCGGAGGGCCCCCTCCCCCAAATAGTCCCCATTCCCTTCATGTCATGGGTATCTACCCAACACCCTCACCTTATCTTCCCCCTCCCCTCCCCCTTCCCTTTCTTGAGCTCTTTTCACACACACACACATACACACACACACACACACACACACGAGAGAGAGAGACAGAGAGAGAGAGAGAGAGAGAGTGTGTGTGTGTGTGTGTGTGTGTGTGTGTGTGTGTTCTGCATATGAGGGAATGCATGCAGCATCCAGAGTCTTCTAGTGACAGCTTAACGTGCTGATGGCTGATCTTCCAGTTGGAACGAAGCAGATTATCTTGGGGCCTACAGATCAGACAAACTACAAACAGTGTGTGACCCCCGAGAGGCGCCCAGAGGAACAAAGTCTTTCCATCAAATGCCCCCTCTGGCCTCTCATCTTCCCTGATGACTCAGGTGCTGGTTCCAGGCCATGGCACCAGGACAGGGCAGTCTTCCAGCTTGTTTCTGCTGGGGGCCGTCTTAGGGAGATGCCTTCTCTCTTGTAGAAACACGAAGATGCCAACAAGCGCTTTCGTTACTGTGGCGAGCCTGCGTCTACTCAAGAGCCTGGAGGGTGGGGCCTTCTTACCAATGCAGTAGCCGGTCAGGTCTCAGAGACAACTGCTGCTTTCCTTGTTTGCTTTAGTTTTGTTTTGTTTTTGTTTTTGTCATTGCTTTGTGTTACCCTCATCAGTTGTTTGTCTGACTTGATGGTTCTTTTTTTTTTTTTTTCCTATGGGGTTGGAGCCAGGGACCAAGTCTTGTGACTGCATAGCCCAGACTGGCCTGGAACTTGAACAACCCTCTTGCCTCCTCCATCCTCCCAGATGCTGGAATACAGGCCCGCACCACCCGGCAGGCTCTCTGATGTGAAACCCCCCACTCTGGTTGTCCCACTTTGTGATGTCTCCACCTCTTCGGGTAGCAACTTCTGTCAATCTATAGATAGTTCCAGAAACGTTTTTCAATGTCTGTGAAAAGCACAGGCGTCCTCGCGCGATGACCAAGACGCTAACCGGGCATCACCCTTCCATCAGTCTAAGGAAGTCCCCGGTTACCAAGGAATTTCTGTTCAGTGTCTGAGATTAAAAAAAAAAGGAGGGGGGGGGTTATCCTCGGCTATGTAGCAACAGGCTAGCCTGGGATGAAGTGAAGACCACAGAGTTCTCTCCTTTGCAAGGCATCATCTTGGAGCGAGGCCTGCCTCTCTAGTGCAGAGAGTGGGTTTTTGCTTTCCAAAGCTGTTTTCCTAAGAGTCGATGCCAGCATTCAACCCAGAGCCTGGGAGGCTGCTCTTCTCGACTGCGTAGGCTCCCTGTCATCGAGGCCCTCCTGCTGGCTCTGGGGCACCCCCTCGGCTTTCTCCCAAGCCTGTCAACACTGCTCCCAGTAACTGCCGGAGAAACCATGACGCCTCTCCACACCCTGTCCTTGGGGCCAGGCTGGTCATCTTCTCAACCATCAGCAGCCTGTGGGAAAGTGAAGGTGGACGCCCTCCCTAGGTCTCTGCTGTTGAATTGCAAGGGAGAAAGGAAAAGGAAGGAGAATCAGAAAGGGGGTGAAGGGGAGGTGTTGAACTTGAAGAAGACGTGACCAAAAGGCACGTGGCTGACGTGAGTGAAGAGGCTTCGCGCCTGTGTTTTTCCGTCATTGGAGTCGGATAATTCAGCTCTAAGAGATGGGAGAGACGTTCAGGAAATGTCATATATATATGTATATTTAGGCAATAAACAACCTTGGTTTGTCACTGCTGCTGCTGTTTCGGTGCCACAGGGTCTCGGGTGTCCCGGGCTGGCCTCAAGCTCACTATGTGGAGGACCTAGACCTCCTGACCCTCCTGCCTTCCGCCTCCCGGGCGTTGGGGTTACAAGTGTGCACCACCACAGCCAGCTTCTAGGACTGCTGTGCTTTCTCTGCTAATGCTCCTACCTCAGAGCAGAAAGCGGCAAAACTGGCTGTGATTCCGGGAGTTGCTATCAAAGAAGGCATAGCAAAGCAACTCTGTGTTGAGGGAAACCGTTACCTGGGCACAACACACCAGAGTTGTTTGTAGTGTGGTTGGTTGGTTGCTGCTGTTGTTGGTTGTTGGTTTTTTTGTGGCTGTTTGTTGTTTTATCATTACAATTTGCATCTTTCAAAACAAACTTCTGGAGAATACTTACTGTAGTGAGAGATCTACCAGACGCACCTGTGACTCTGACCACGCCCGAGATGGGCATGGTCACAGGTGCGCTTATGTGAGCCTGTGGGATTTGGTCTGGGGTCAGGGACAGGCTTGCTCTCTTTCGAGGTTCTGGTTGGGTCACGAAGGGCGGCAGAGCTTTGTCCTGGGCTACCGGTTTCTCATGCAAGTGATTTCTCCCCGAATAAAATTAACCTATATCATCCTAGTCCCGTGTATGTTAATTTGAACAACCACACTTTCCTATTAATAAGAAGACTCTGTGTGGTTATTTAGGAGCTGGCTGGTGGGACAGAAAAATCCACCAATGTAAGACAGTATTAGTCGTCAAAGAATTAGGATTCTAAGTGGCAGGCATGTGTGACATCTGTAAGGACTGACAGATTAAAAAAAAAAAAATCCAAGACGGTGGACATTAAGTTCCTTAAGTTTCTACTGACTCGTAACTGTGTCCCCTGCACATACACGGTTGTAACAGTAGTAGATACCTAAATAATATTTGGGGCATAGAGAGTAAGGCAGAGAGGAGAACACAGGAAAAAAAATAAGGATTTCAGGTGGATGGGCTTTCCCTGGGGGCAAATGCAGTGGCCTCAACTTAGGGCCCAGGGTGTCATTAATTCGAAGTCGTGGCTGACCACTGTGACCCCTACCTGTCACCCAAGCATGCCAGATGCTAAGGCCGGAGGTTTACAATGTCCATGCCAGCCTGGGCTTCATAGAGAGAGCCTGTCTGAGAAACTCAGAATAAAAAAATTTTTTTTGGTTTTTCGAGACAGGGTTTCTCTGTATTGTTTTGGAGGCTGTTCCGGAACTCGCTCTGTAGATCAGGCTGGCCTCGAACTCACAGAGATCCGCCTGCCTCTGCCTCCCAAGTGCTGGGATTAAAGGCATGTGCCACCCACGCCCAGCCAGAATAACATTTTGAAAATAAAAAAAAAGTCACCAACCTTCACTAGAAAGCCCTGTACTTTTCTCATGAAAATGAGACTGGTTCCTCTTCTCTGTGAGCTGTCAAATAAAGCCGCAGTGTCTCAGGAGGGCCCATGGCCCAGCTGGCCTCTCTCAGGAGAGCACACCGCCCAGCCAGGCACCCATCCTCACAGAGTACCCCACCCTGTACTCTTTTCTTCCCAGCACTGAATCTTCAGCCTTCTTTGCTCACTGTGTCCCAAATGTGTTTATGTAGTTTAAATCAGGATTTTAATGTTTGCGGGGTCAAAAATAAAGAACAAATCATGAAAAGCAGGGTTTCTCGTTCTCTCTGGGAGAAGACACTTGCTCATAAAGGAATGGGCATAGCCACGTGATGGGGAAGAGCCTCTAACCGCATCTCCTTTGCTGACTGTCTGACCGTGGGGATGGATACCCTCCTGTCTCCAACTTCAGTCTGCCTTTTCCCGTGTTCTGGCTCCTGGGCCTTACAAGTCTCAGGAAAGCCCTCCTGGATTTCATTTATTCTTGTTCTCTGGGGGTGACCATGCCTACATGTGTTCTTGGTACCCATGGAGGCTGGAAGGAAGTGGCAGATCCCCCGGAACTGGAGTTACAGAGCAGTTGTCAGAAGCCAGATGGATGCTGGGTACCAAACCAGGGTCCTCTGCAAGAGCACTCAGTGTCCTTACCCGTTGAGCCGTCTCTCCAGCCCCAAGATTCACTTTTTCATTCCTTCTCAGAATAACTGCTTGCCATTATGGTTGTGTGTTCCGATGTGAACAGCTTTATGCCTCAGAATGCACTTTCTGCTAAAAATAAATAAATAAATACATAAATACATAAGTAAATAAGCTATGCTGGGGGCTGGGGAGAGACTGAGATCAAACCTGAAGCTGTGAACCAAGGTTCCTCTCTGTGAGTCCATTACCCGAGAGGCCTCAGAGGTGCCCAATACAATACAAACTATTATCGTTGGCTCTTGGTCCCCATCAAAACTACAGAAGCCAGATTGATTTGAACAAGTGAAATCCAAGCTTGCTCACAAGTAAAAACAAGTGATTGCACAGATAGGCCGCTTGGGTTGAGTCCCTCTGCAGTTGCCCCCTCCCCCACCTGTGTCTGTCTGTCTGTCTGTTTGTCTCTGTCTCTTTGTCCCCATCCTCTCTCCAAAGCACTCCCCTTTGGGAAATAGCTTCCTTGTCTTCAGTCAGCACATTGCCCCGGACCCCTCCCCACCACCAAATGTCATCTGGACTCTCTAGGGAATAGCAGATGGAGTCCAGCACACGAATTTACCTTGACACAGACCAAAGAGGAAGAGGAAGTCATTTAATGACTGAGGAACCCAAAAGAAATCAATAAATCAAGTAATGTAAAACATATTTTCTGACAAAAAAAAATCTGCCCTGTACAAAACGGCCAAAAGATGACAATGCGATGGAGAGACATTCACAGGCTCAGCTAAGCAAAATCCCTCTGTAACTCAGCCTTCGATCATACACCGGAGACCAGCATCTGGTGGGTTTGGCTCCCCATCAGCCCACCCCACCCCCACCCACTGGCAAGAAGCTTCCTTGAGACTGGTGGCATCAGGCCACACCACTCTGGTCTGCGGTCCCATCACATCTGACAGTTTGAAGGAGCAGGAAGGCTCTTGGATGACAGCAGGGGTCCGTTTAAACTGGGCTGCGACCTGTTCAGGATGCCCCCTTCCATCTCCACCCTCCTGCCTCTGCACTTTGAGCTTGTTTTGAGGTGCGCATGAACTTCTGTTTCCCTAAGTCGTCGTCTCCATGACGGCGGCATCCCAAAGCCTCCTTCCTCCATCTTTGCGGTGCCCCCTCTCACGCTGTGCTTGGGTTTCTTTAGCCAACAGGAATTGGCTGTAAAAGTAAAACAAATGGATGCAACAATAGAATCTCAAGCCACCGAGCCAGAAAGGGCATCCCCTCCCAGTCAAGAAGCCATGACCCCCCCCCCCCCAGCCTCCTCCAGAGGAGATGGGGAGACAAGGTTTCCAATTCTCTTCAAAGTTTAGCTCTAATGAGTCCTCTGGGATTCTATAGGAAGTATGGTAGACGGCTCAGATGCTTGGACTGAGCAGACTGGAGAAAAAAACAAAAAACCTCTAGTAAACTCGGAAAACAAATGCAACCTCTAACTTGGTGACTTTCTGGAGACTCCTGAAAACGCTGCCCAAGTGTCTGTACACTTAACCACAGCTGCATGCCACGACCCTCCGGGTCATTTTTTAAATAAGAAATCACTGAAAATTCTAAACTTCCTCTTAAAAGATAAACTACCCAGAGCTGGAGAGATAGCTCAGCAGTTAAGAGGGCTCGCTGCTCTACCAGAGAACCTAGGTTCGATTCTCAGTCCCCAAACTGTGACTCATAACCATCTAAAACTCAAGTCCCATGGGATCTGACGTGCTCTTCTGGCCCCCATGGGTCACACACAGGCATGTGGGCCAAACACCCATACACATAAAATAACATTTTTTTTTAAAAAGATGGATACGTCACACACATCTAGATGTACCTAGACACGATCCCAGTCGCATAGTACTGTCCCCCAGCGTGGCGGTCAGGCTGAAGATGTAGCTCAGTTGAGGAGGTGTTTATGGAGCATGCACAGAGTCCTGGGCTGCAACCCTGGCACTGAGCAAACCCTGTCATGGTGGAGCTTGTGGTAACCCCATCGAGAGGTGGAGACAGTGGATTAGAGGTTCAAGTCTTCCTCAGCTGTTCAGTGAGTTTGAAGTCAGACTGGGCCACAAGACCAAGTCTCTCTCTCTCTCTCTCTCTCTCTCTCTCTCTCTCTCTCTCTCTCTCTCTCTCTCTCTCGTATGTATGTATGTATATACAGGTAGATATAGATATATATGTGTATGAATATATGTGTGTATATACACACACATATATATATATGTATATGTACATATACATATATTTCACTTTCAGGCTCCTAGCACTGTCTCCAGAATGTCTACACCATCTAGAAATCCACAGAGCTGAGAGAATGGAAGTTAGCTATTCTGGAAGCCTGGCTGGACTCCCACCAGAAGACCAACTGTCATAATGTATTATTTGCCATTCCAGCTTGGCAGTGGTAAGATCTGCTGGCTTGGCTGCTTTGCTCATCTGGCCATCATCTTGAACCCCAATATCTGTCTCTGAGTTTTTATTATTCGAGTTACAACTGACTTCCTGTGACCCGTTTTTTTTTCTCCCAAGGGAACATCTCTCCCTTCCCCCCATCCTTTTGACACTGATCCCCCCCCATCTTCTCTTACTCTTGCTTAATCAACTATCCAATCTGCTCTCCTGGAAATAACCCTTAAACTCCTCACATCAAGCTGAGGCACTGATCGACAACCCATAGGACCACACCCAAAGCCACTGCCACTCCACGAATGCCTCATCGCCACCACCATCTCAGGACGTTTCCTAAATCCGTTGCGTATCCTATTTTAGGACTGTTCTAGTCAAAACTCCGTGGTTTTCCAAATTATTCATGGGCACATAGGTTCCTCCCTTCAGATGGAAGACGAACTAGGAAAGCCTTTCTCAGACTTGCGTTCTTCAGAAAATGTCACACCCAGGTTTGAAAACCCTTCCTTAACTCACGTAGAGAACCTATAAACCAAGAAGTAGCCTAGACTTGGAGCCAGCGAGGTAGCTCCTCAGTGGGCAGGGTACTTGCCAAGCAAGCCTGACCTGAGCTCCGTCCTGGAACCCACATCAAGGTAGAAAGACAGAACCAACTCCACAAAGTTGTCTTTCTCCTCAGTTCCACGTGGGACAGCACACTCACACACATATCACACGCGCACACACAATAATAAAGTTTAAAGAAACTTAAAAAGAATAAACATCCTAGACTCGAGTTGAAACATCACCCATTGCCCCATAAATATGTGAGTTTATGCTTTTAAGTATCAAACCTAAAATAGTAGATTTAAACCCAATAGTTCTAGCAAAACAAGGGGAAATCATGAAGGGGGAGGGGGAAGGGGAGAGGGGAGGAGAAGGGGAGAGGAGGGGTAAGAATAAGAAGTGGCTGCCCTTGGAGCAGAGGGAACTAGAGTTCATGTTCTCTTAGAAGAAGCAATAAAAATCATTTTTGGAAAACTAATCTTCCAAAAGGCGTCCAATCATTTCAATTGAATCAAATAAACCTCCATAGACTGGGTTCTGCTATTGAGTGACCACCTTCACTCAAGAGCACACTGGATTTTAATTTGATGAAAGCTGGTGTAAGGGATGGAGATGCATCCAGGATACTGCACTTGTCTGTTGAGTGCAAGGTACGTGGCTCTGGGTTCAGTCCCAGACCCAAAACATTAAGGATGTCAGCATTTTAAACAAGCCAGCATGGTGGGGCACTTCTTCAATCCCAGCACTCAAGAGACAAACATAGCCAAATCTCTGTACATCTGAGCCCAGGCTGGTCAGCATAGAGAGTTTCTAAACAGCCAGGGCTTCATAGGGAAATCCTATCTCATATATGTTAGATTTACTACATATATATATGTAATATGCATATTACTTATATATTAAATTAGTTATATATTTAAATTATATGTTATTATATATTATCATATATTATGTATTATATATGCTATTGTATAATATATAATTATACTGTATGTAATATATTATATATAAATTATATATAATGTAAGTAATTTAAATGTATTACATATCATTAATTGAACACAAACTGAGGAAGAGAACTCAACACATCTCACATTTCTAAAAAAGTGTTTTTGCAATTAAAATATAATTACATTATTTCCACATTCCCTTTCTACCTTCCAACCCTTCCCATGCATCCCTTCCCCTTGTTCTTTCTTAAATTCATGAACTATATATATATATACACATACATACTAAAATTTAATATGTATTTATATACCCTTTAATTTATATATATATATATTCCTTTAATTTCTTTACTAGTTTTATATATGTATATATATATGTGTGTGTGTGTATTTGTAAATACAGAAAAACAACCTCTCCAGTCTGTATAATCTTATTTTTATGTATATGACTTCATGGCTGACCACTTGGTACTGAAAAACCAATCTGGAGAGTCTCCCCTGGGGAAGACTATTTTTCCTGTTTCCAGCGTTCCTTAGTTGAGGCTCCATGAGGTGTTAGCATGCCCTTTGGTGCCATCACTGTTCAGGTCTTGTTTAGGTAGCCATATCGATGAGACAGCATGGGTAAAGATTTTCTGGCATTTCTAGGAGACAAAAATCCGACGACAAACTTCCTGTTCCTTGTGCTTCCTTCCCACGCCTCCTCCTTCTGCGATCACTGAGCCTTACGTATGGGAGTCGAGTTTTAGATGTCTCAGGTGGGTCTTGGCGGCACACGGTCACTCTGACGGATGGCTAGGTTTCCAGTTCAGGACTTGATTTCCCTCTTAGTGTATGGACCTTTAGTCCAGTTAGAAAGCTGCTGGCTACCACAAGGCACACACGCCATTGTTGTACCCTTAGGAATAGAACCCCACGATGGTCATTATTTCCGTTCCCTCCCTTAGAAGATAGAATGGCACTGTGAAACTTTGTTTCAGGTCCACATTGGGGATTTTTACCTGAGTTAGGCTTTCCTATCTGAGCTTTGTAAAAAGATAACAATGTCCTCAGGAAGGGATATGTTTTTAGACTCCCTTCCCCCCACCCCAAGGAAGAAGTAAAAATCATTGACATTATCTTGCGCTTGCTTTATACACACAAGAATTCCAGGACATCCCACTCTGCTGTGAGACATGACACAGGAAGCTAGTCCAGCCTGGCCAAAGCCGTTGGTCTGAGCACGTGAGGTGTGGTGAAGCCCAAAGGGACACACACAAAATTCCACCGAGCCCTGGATAATGAGAACATGGAAGGCTCTGGTGGGTAGCGTTCTGGCAGGATTTGCCCGTGCCCCACAAAAGTCCACGGGCACTTAATCCCGAAATCCTCATTTAATAGTGTAACAGTATTTTTAGAGGCAAGACCCCCACGATGAGATTAGTGGCTTTTGTAAGAAAAGAGACCTGAGCCAGCAGCAATTCAGCTGTCTATGTGTGCTGTCTTCCTCCAAGACATGACATCACGAAAACTCACCAAAAAAAAAAAAAAATGGATACCAAAAAAAGAACCAAACAAAGCAAAAATAAAATAACATTTCAGCAGGTAAAGCTGGAGAGAGCTGACTCCTGAAAGCTGTCGCCCTGAGCTGAATCCATCTCTACTATTTACACGTTACTCAGCCCTGGGGCATTCTGTCACAGTCAGTACACAACAGACTAAGACTCCCCCTGCAGCACCCTAGTCTAAAAACCACTCCAGCCAATTCTTCAGCCCCCGCCTTCCCCAACTGTCTGAGCCGGAGGTGGTCTTGGATTCTTCTCCACAGGGAGCTTCAGGGAAAATAAAATAGAGATGGTTAACAACACTTGAATGTTCAACACACAGCCCCTTTTTAAGAAACTGAAGCTCAAAATCCCGGGGGCCTTCCAGCTGGGCTGAGTACAGCTGCTGCGGGTAACCCTGCCATCCCTTTGAAACAAAAAGCAAAGCAGCCATAATAAAAATAAAATTTGTACTTAAAAAAAAAGTTTCACACTCATGTTTATGTATAAACCAAACACCAGCAAAACAAACCGGTGGTTGAACTGGCATTTTAGGTACGAGCCAGTGCATTAGCCAAACAAACAAACTATGGGATGGACACACACAGGGATCTCACTTCAGCCGTGCTTGACCAAGGCGGGAAGGCCCAGGTTAGGCATTCAAGCATCCCACTGCCCACAGAGGGGCTGTCGCCTCCACTGTCCCCATGGAACTTTATCTTAGTACCAAAAAAATCAGGAGACGTTTAAAAACTCGTAGAGGAGGCACCCCTCCTAAGCTTGGGCTTTGGGGATTTCAGAGGGAGGATGAACAGCTCCTGAGAATGGGGCTTGTATGACCTGCTTTTAAATGACTGCTTCCTACTCTGGTCAGTGAAACTATCCAGTTCTCATCTGCCCAAAATGACCTTGACTCTCACAGAAGGAACGGCCCCAAAGCCCCTGTGACACCAGCTCCCCCTGACGCTGCTTTCCCCGTCTGCAGGCCAGCAGTTGAGGGGATTTCCTCGCTGACGGCAAGGCCTGCTTGTACACATGACCAGGGGACTCGCAGCCATTGAAGCTTCCTCCTGGTCATGAGTGCCCAGCCAGCAGCGCTGTGAGGCAGAAGGCACCTGTGTCAGGGAAGGGGCAGAGGCAGAGGAGAAGTGGTCAGGGAACTGTATCTGCGGTTTCCGAAGGCCCGACCAGCTGTACTTGGGTTAAAAAGTCAACGGAAAAGTGATCCTTCCTCAGTTACTTTTGTTTTGGTTTTGTTAAGAATTTTTCTTTTGGAAAAAAAATTAAACATCTGGATGCCTTTATGGAAAGAGTCATTGTGGTCACTAGGGTTGAGGGAGGATACATTTTTTTTAACCTCTGGATTTGATTCAGTTTGGTCAGCGAAGGTCTGAGGGTACAGAAAGCCCTGGCACAGGGTGACTGCTCTGCTGGCCTTGACACTTGGCTAATGAGTCTTCGGCTGGGAATATTTGAGGGGTACTGGACAAGACAGACCAGGCATTTGTTCCAGCTCTGAGCAGTGTTTGTGTCTGTCTTGAACACCACGGTTCCCCGAGCCCTGCGTTAGGCAGGAGCCTGCTTCGTAGGCAGGGGAATTCCCACCTGGGTTTGAAGTGAGCTGTTTGTGTAACCGAGCTGCAGGCACCCTGGTTTATGTCTGCACTCTCGATATTTCACATTTGCAGAGGCTCGAGGAAACAGTCGATCCTGTTGGACTTCAACCAATACCAATCTTTTCTTCCACTTTTCCTTTTGCTGTTTGTTTGTTTGTTTGTTTGTTTGTGAGACAGGGTTTCTTTGTGTAGCCCTGGCTGCTCTAGAATTCTCTATGTAGACCAGGCCTTGAAAGCCTTTTTCACAGTTCACATGATTGACTCCTCTGCTAGGTGCCCGCCCTGCGCTCGCCCACAGGGAACACACTTTGAAGTCCTGAGAAGGGAAGATTAGTTAAAAACAAAACACACTTACTGTTACACCTGTTTCCAGGCACAGATGAGGGGCTTTTTCCACAGGTGTCTCTAGCCCCTGGTGTCTTCTGCAGCAGAGAAAAGACAGAAGCAGTTTGTACATTTCAAATGGGTGAACTAGAAAGCTGGCTTAGTGCAGATTCACCCTGAAGCACGCCCAGAGGCACCAACTTGGGTTGAAGTAGTTCATTTGGGAGGGGATAGGAAGAGCTGGGGGATGGGCGGTGAACCAGGAAGTATGTACACAGCCAGAGGGCCTTCTCCCTGAGTGAGGAGGTCCTGCTAGGCGGTTCTGGAACTTAGGATCACACGTCATTCCTCAGAGAAAGAGAATTCATCCGTGGAGCCCAAGGGTGCTCAGGAGACACTAGCTCTGGGTACTCTGGGCCTATCCTTCTGTGCACAGGAAGGGTGCATAGTCATTGGCCTCTATGGACGCCATGTCCTGTACCAGAGACTGTTGAGGAGATGCAGTGAGAGGCAAGGCTGTATGGAAAGCCCACACAGTGCGGAGAAGCCCACAGTAAGTCCTAACCAGTAAGTGACTTCTGTCAACTGAGGGTCTCTGAACTCGTCCTAGTGCGCCTTCAGTGCTATGATAAATACCGTAGCCAAAGGCAACTTAGGGAGTAAAGGATGCATTTAATCTTGCAGCTTGCTGTGTAGTATGCAGTGACCAGTACCCCCCCCCCTTTTTAGCAGCCATGGCAGGCTAACATGTGCTTGCATGACCTTGCCACGCCTGTCCTGGTCACTAGGAGGTCAATCAGAAGTCAGTTGGCGTGGCTGTGCTTTACGGCTCTGGGTATGATTTATGGATAGTGCACAACAATGACCTGCAGAGCATAGCAACCGCCCTGGGTGGGCCTATGGGCCATAACAACCAGTTGACCAATCAACACAGGGCAGGTTGGCCAAACCTGGAAGTGCACCAATCCTGAAACTGTTTCATACCCCTAGACAACTCCCCTTACACTACTTTTTTGTTTTGTTTTGTTTGTTTTTTCGAGACGGGTTTCTCTGTATTGTTTTGGAGGCTGTCCTGGAACTCGCTTGGTAGACCAGGCTGGCCTCGAACTTACAGAGATCCACCTGCCTCTGCCTCCCGAGTGCTGGGATTAAAGGCGTGCGCCACCACTGGCTGGTTTACACTGCCCTTTAAGATCCCCACATCACAGATTCTCGGAGTCTTTCTCCAGCCATCTGCCGTGGTGGATAGATGAAGGGCCCGAGCTAATGGTTTAGCTTGTTAAACAACTACAATAAAAGACTCTCTGATTTTGCATGGAAATGGGCCTCTTGGTGATTTTGGGCTTCAGAATTTGGGCACAACAGCTGTCTATTAGGAAGGGGTCAAGGCAGGGACTGAAGCAGACACCCTGTAGAAACCCTGCTTACTGGCCGGCTCGCCAGGCTCAACTTCAGCTACCTTCTGACACCTCCCAACACCACGGGCCCAGGAGTGGCACCACCGCAACGGACTAGGCTCTCCCACATCAATCATGAACCAAGAAAAATGCCCCCCACTGACTTGCCTATGGGCTAATCTAATGGAGGTCATTCCTCAATTGATGGTACCCTTCCCAGACGACTCCTGCTTATATCAAATGGGAAAGACTACCAGAAGTAACCTAGAGGAAGTTTCTAGTTTTGTTTTGTTTTGTTTTGTTTTTGCATTCTTCTTGACAATGATTTCTACTTGCTCGGGGGTTTTGGTTGGTTTGTTTATTCTGCCACTGTTGTTCCGGTCACTGTTGTTTTGGGACAGGCTCTCATTCCACAGACCAGGCTGAGCTGACGCTCACTATATAGTCCAGGCTAACTTCAAACTGGCAGTCATCCTCCTGCCTCAGTCTCTGAAGTGCCCGGGTCACAGGTGTGAGCCACCACACTCAGCTTGTGCTTCTGCTTAGCTTCCCGACAACTCCCAAACCACCTCTTTTCAGCCTACACCACCGAGTTGAATCCTTGACTCACAATGATTCAGGTTTCCAGGTGGACACCGTTTCCACGCAGCTGAGAGCACCTCGTGCTGTACACGCCTTAAACACTCTTCCTCCCAAACCCCTGGCTTCCTCTTGTCTCCACAACTCCGTCAGTGACAGACACGTTCATCTACACACTCGAGTTAGAAACGCCCGAGGAACCTTGCTCCCAATGAATCCAGCCACCCCTGCACACGCATGTTAGAGTCTGTCCCGCCTTCCCCAGATTCTCTGCCACTCCAACCATCTGTCCTTGTCTGTCACATGACCATTGCGGCATCCTCCCCACTGGTTTCCTAGCCCCTTTTTCTCTACAGACACCAAGAAGATAATTTTGAAGGCTTAGGCTTACTCTCTCCATGAGTTTTCTTTGCCTTCCAAGTGGAGTTCACGCGTGTTTCTCGGTCTAGTTCATGCACCAGTGTTTCGATTGTGTGCCTATGCGTGACGTAAAAGCAACTACCTGAAGAGTTAGGTCCCCCGAGGCCGGAGTTACAGATGGTTATGAGCCACCATGCAGGGAACTGAACTTAGGCCCTCTGCAAGAGCAACCAGTGCTCTAACCACTGAGCCCATCTCTAACAGCCTCGGTTCTTAACAGCTGAACAGAACCCCTGACAACCTCACTCAGGTCAACCTGTCGAGCGCCGCCATCTGTTCTATGCCTGCTTTGAGTCAAGATTCTTTTCTTTGTCGTTTTGTGTTATTGAGACCTTGTCTGTGTGGCCCAGCCTGGCCTTGAGCTCGTGACAAGCCTCCTACCCCAGCCTCCCAAGCCCTGGGACTATAGACATGATCCCTTCTATTTTGGATTCTATTTGAGCTGAGCCGTATATGAAGGCTCCGGTCTGACTCCAGCATGCAAGTGGCTCTCAGTCGATGCTACCTTCACTTTGCTTTTCCACAGAACTATCAGACCCTGGGCAAAAGGCCCAAGCAAGGCACTAGGTTCACTCCCGGAACCTAACGCACAGTGTGGGAAGTTCCCAGTCAGACCTATCACTCCTCCATCCAGGACAGAGTCTCCTCACATCACAGTAGCAGATGTGTGTAGCTGGGCCCGCTGAAATCTTAGTACAAGCGAGTGGACTAGGCTTTTTCTTTTGAGCCAGCAATCAATCAGCTCCCAGATCATGACACAGAGCCTTCTTATTAGTTATGCAAGCTCAGCCTAGCTTAAGCTCATTTCTGGCTCACTCTTTTAACTTCAATGAACCTGTTTCTCTTTAAGTATGTTTTTGCCTCTGGGTTTGTTTGTTTGTTTGTTTGGGGGTTTTTGAGACAGGGTTTCTCTCTGTAGCTTCGGAACCTGTCCTAGAACTTGCTCTTTAGACCAGGCTGGATTCAGACTCACAGAGATCCGCCTGCCTCTGCCTCCTGAGTGCTGGAATTAAAGGTGTGCACAACCACCACCCAGCACCCCAGGGTTTTTTACCTTTCTTTCTTTCCGTACGTCTTACTTTCCCCCTGCTTCTCCATGTCTGCTGGCTGCCTGACTGGCCCTGGATGTGTCCCTATCTTTCTCTCCCATCCTCTCCTCCTTCTCTCTTCTCTCCAGCCTAGATTCCTCCTCCTACATATTGTCTCTGCCCTCCAGCCCTGCCTAGCCTTCTCCTGCATAGATATTGCCTGCTCAGCTTTTTTATTAGACCAATCAGGTGCCTCAGGCAGGCAAGGTGAAACAGCACATTCTTTCATAATTAAACAAATGCAGGGCAAACAAGTGTAACACATCTTCACATAGTTAACAAAAGCAGCAGAAACAAATGTAACACAACATTGTTGAAGTAATCCCCACAACAAGTGAGGCCTTGAGCTACTTCGGGATCAAATGTAATTCTCAATTAGCCGCCCTTACCTCAGCTCAAGGCTACTGGTTTCTACCACTGGCAACCTCGGTGGCCATAGGTGGCCCAGCCAGGTCTGCCCGGGAAGGAAAGACCATTTGGTTGACCCCATGGTTAACCCACAGCCTCCGTCACTGCCTCCCTGGTTGTTTAGTCCCTGAGACCACCAGGCTAGCGTCAGGGGAGATGGGAAAGGAGTTGGCGTGGTCTCAGCTCTAGTCATTGGGTTCCTCGGTTTGCTAAGAGATGTCTGTCACCAGAGCAGACTCTCTGGTTCTGTTCTAAGGCTTCTAGTCACAATTGCCCCCTCGCCTCCGAGCTGCTTCTCAACCATTGCAAACCAGTGGGCCTGGATAAAGAAATATTTCCATCCTGGCTTGAGAACAGCAGCCACCCTGAGTCACAGCTCGCTGTGACCTAGTCTCCCATCCCTGAGACCCCATAACACCACTTTATTCTGTCCCTTACCAGACTGTAGGCTCTCCAGCAAGCTCACCAGGTTTTCTCTTGCTATCCTATGAGCATTCCTAGATAGAGCCAAGTCTCAGGAAGGGACACTCTGGTAGGGGCTGATTCCTTGGCGGGGAAACCTCCTGTGACCACTTAGTTTCCCTAGGACTGTAGTACTCCAGAGGTGTCTAGTTGACTTCTGGAATGTCCTGCAGGAGAACTGAATCTACTGTGTGCTCTGGTGATTAGTCTATATTTCTAGATTCCCCCACTATACCTTGGTCCAGGTAAAGCTGTTTATCTCATCCCATATGGTCTTGATCACCTGCTGAACCCTGGGGCCTTCCTTATTCCCGTCATAGATTTGTGTAAATATTCCCTTTAAGCCATCTGTCTTTCCAAACAAATTGGGTGAAGCACATTGTTCAAAACTCTACCCCCAGGGAAGGTATTGGCATTTCTCTTATTCACTCTCATTCAAAGTCTTAGGGAGCTGCTACGCCATGACACCCTGCTTCTACCAGATGTAAAATATTTCCACCTGAGTCGTCTGATACCTGAGACTCCACAGGGTGTCACAGATGCAGACTGAGGGAGGGGTTGTCACAGGACAAGAGCAGACCATTGTAAAGATAAGCCTTTTTCTTTTCTGCTGCTTGGTTTTTCCCTGCCAGTCGCCTGGGCTCTGCCATGTCGTAGTCCCCAAATAACACACAAGGCGCTGTATTAATTATGAAGCTGTTGGCCTTGCTTGTTTCTTACTGTCTAGATCTGACTTAAGTATTTATCCCATAATTGCTAATCTAAGTATTTTCTCTTACCGGAGATGTTTCCAGGCTTCTTATCTCTATGGCGGTTACATCTTGACTTCCTGTGTTTCTCCTACCCAGAGTCCTCCTGGACTCCTATTCCCACCTATCTTGCTTCCCTATTGGCCAACAGTGCTTTATTGACATATACACAGGACTTCCCCAACAGACCATAATAAAAGTTAAGCCCCACTGAATGCTATTCCTCGTGTCTTTGGGGGCCTACCCAAACTCATTCCTGCCTTTAAAGATTCCATTTGATGGCTGAAGGCTTCTAGATGCTTCTCTCTGCTAGTAATATCACTTCATAACAGGCAGCTCAGTCCACAAGCAACAGATTGCCCCCAATCCGAGCATCAGTCCCTAGGAGAGCACTGTAGCTTCTCTAAGTCTGGTCCACAAAGGAGAATTTACCCAGTCAGGAAAGCACCATTTATAGCTGGACAGTGGTGGTAGACAGCTTTAATCCCAGCACTTGGGAGGCAGAGGTAACCAGATCTCTGTGAGTTTCAGGCCTGCCTGGTTTACAAAGCAAGTTCTGAACAGCAAAAGCTGTTAAATAGAAAAACCATGTCAAAAGGAAGGGAGGGAGGGAGGGAAATACGAAGAAACAAAGAAAGAAAACAAGCAGGCACAATTTATGCCCGATCTCTTGGGCCCTTGTCAGGAACTGTTGGGGAAAGGGTGCTTCCTGGTCTTTTCCAGCTTCTAGAGGGCCAGGTCCACTCCCCGGCTGCAGCTCCATCCTTCATCTTCAGGGCCAACAGTACTTCATCTCTAACTTTCCTCTAAAGTCATATTCCTCTTTACCTTTAAGAACTCGCAGGATCAAACTGGACTTCCTATGTGGTTGGGAGTTTTCTCTCCCCACCTCAAGGTCCTTAGACACATTAGCAAAGTCCCTTCAGGTTCAAGGAATTAGGACACAGGCAAATTCGGAGTATTATTTACCAACAAATGGAATTTGGTTGAGGTTAGACATTTAATCTCTTCCGATTTCCCCTTCAGTTCTTGGATCCTACCTACTATTCTCATTCATTAGAAACACCTATTTATCAAATAATAAGCCTCCTAAAGTTTCAAATTCAACTGGTGATGTAATTTGGCAATCAATCTACCTTATAGAACTGTTTGACTTGCAGCCACTCTGTGGTTTAAGAGATAAGCAGATTCAGAACACACACACAAAAATTCCCTGGACTTCAGGCTGTGGGTTCTAGGCCAGTAATTCAAGAACCTAATATTCACATTTTCCTTCAAGCCAATCAGAGCTTCTATCACAAACCCATGGCTATTGAGGTTCTCTGGTTCTTTGTCTTGTTCTACAATGGCAGCATTCCATGCATCCTTGGTCTCCGATTATTATAAATCATAATATTAATATAATCAGCCAATTCTCTATTTATTGTGTGAGCTATCCTAGTTAGTTTCAACTGGCAACTGGGCACAACTTAGACTCATTTGAGAAGAAAGACTCAGTTAAAGGATTGTCCAAATCATGTTGGCCTGTGGGCACATCTGTGGGGAATTGTCTTGATTGTTAAGTGATGTAAGGAGGCCAAGACCACTGGGCAGTGATGGCACACACCTTTAATCCCAGCATTCAGGAGCAGAGGCAGGCAATCTCCCTGAGTTCGAGGCCAGCCTGGTCTACAATGCTACACAGAGAAACCCTGTCTGGAAAAATAGAAGGAGGAGGAGGAGGAGGAGGAGACGAAGAAGACAAAGAAGACGAAGAAGACGAAGAAGACGAAGAAGAAGTAGAAGAAGAAGAAGAAGAAGTAGAAGAAGAAGAAGAAGAAGAAGAAGAAGAAGAAGAAGAAGAAGAAGAAGAAGCAGAAGAAGCAGAAGAAGCAGAAGAAGCAGAAGAAGCAGAAGAAGCAGAAGAAGCAGAAGAAGAAGAAGAAGCAGAAGAAGCAGAAGAAGCAGAAGAAGAAGAAGAAGCAGAAGAAGCAGAAGAAGAAGAAGAAGCAGAAGAAGCAGAAGAAGAAGAAGAAGCAGAAGAAGCAGAAGCAGAAGAAGAAGCAGAAGCAGAAGAAGAAGCAGAAGAAGAAGCAGAAGAAGAAGCAGAAGAAGAAGAAGAAGCAGAAGAAGAAGAAGAAGAAGAAGAAGAAGAAGAAGAAGAAGAAGAAGAAGAAGAAAAGCCAACAAGCAGCGTTGTTCCATGGTTCCTTCTTTGAAGCTCTTTCTTGAGTTCCTTGCCTGACTTCCCTCAATGATGGGCTATGACTATGGAAGTATAAGCCAAATAAATCCCCTCCCCAAACTCCCCTAATAGCTTTTTGTCAGAGCAACAGACATAAAACCAGAACAACCTCCTTATACACTAGCTGTGTTTTCTCGCTGCTTTTAGTTGAAGCCTGAAATCCTCTATGCTGGTTTCCCTGGGTCTGTATGGTGACCGCTTGTTCTAACAGCCAGTGTCCTGTGACTATTTTCCCCAGAAGAAATGGACAGATGTCTTTTTACCATAAATGGGGAACCAACCGTAGACCAACTAAGTCTACCATGGCGAACCAGTGACTTTACTGAGATACTCAGGGGATCGTAGATGGGTGGTTACTTATAGGCATAGGGGAGTCTTGGACGGCTACACTAGCAAAATCCCACCTGTGGTGGTTTGAAAGAAGATGGCCCCAAAGTGAGTGGCACTGTTGGGAGGTGTGGCCCTGTTGGAGGAAGTGTGTCACTGTGTGAACGGACTTTGGGTCTCTTTTCTCAAGCTTCACTCAGTGCGGCAGTCAGTTGACTTCCTGTTGCCTCTCAGCTCCAGCACCATATCTGCCTGCATGCCACCACGCTCCCCAATTAAATGTTTCCTTTATAAGAGCTGCCGTGGCCATGGAGTCCCTTCACAGCAACAGTAAACATTAACTAACACACCACCACAGCACGAGGGGGCTCGTGAAAGCTAATCCCTGAGTTCTCAGTTTATCCTTGCTCAACTTGCATGTAGCTCCGCCCAAGAATTCCCCCTCTCCTAGCAACTGGTTATTGCTTCTGTCGGAGGAGCTTCCTGGGTCTTTCACCTCTGCCCTGTTTTGCGAGCCTCCCTGATCCCTCCAGGAGGAAGCTATTGAATCCAAAGGAAATAATCCAGGGTACTTAGGTAGAAGAAGTCAAAAGTAACTTTGGCTTCAGCACAAAATAAATGCATTAATTAGATCTGCAGAGGTGGCTCAAGGGTTGCTGCTCTTGAGCCCAGGACTTGGATTCAGTTCCCAGCCCCCACATGGTAGCTCTTAACCTCCTGTAACTCCAATTCCTTGGGATCTGATGCCCTCTGGTACACCTGTAGCCATGGAGCATGGAAACTCACACAAGGAGTGGATTGGGGGAGAGGGGTAGAAGGAAGGTGGGGGAGGGAATGGGAGGAGAGGAAGGAGGAGAAACTGTGGTTGGTATGTAAAGTAAATAAATAATAAGTATGAATGAAAATAAGGATATACTGTGCAAAAAAAATTGCAGCTCTTCTAAAGGAGTTTGGTCCCCAGTGCCCATATCAGGAAGTTCATAACTGTCTGTAACTCTAGCTGGTCTCTGGGAGAATTTGCACACCCAGGGCACCTGCACACCCAGGGCATTTGCACACCCAGGGCACTTGCACACCCCAGGCACTTGCACCATCAGAGCACAAACCTATACACACAAATAAAAACAAATCTTTAAAAAGCATAAAATATGTTACATGTAAGTAGTTAATAACAACCATCCCTGTTTTTGTCCAATGCCTCAGATTATGTTTCCTAAAACAAGGATTTCACCTGATAGCTGCCTGTGGTGATACATCACTTATGATTTACTAAAGTTTGCCTGAAAGTACAGAAAGCAAAGCTAGCCGCAAGCCATAGAGCCAGGCAGTGGCAATACACACCCTTAATCCCAGGGCTCAAGAGACAGGCAGCTGGATCTCTGTGAGCTCACGGCCACACTGAGCTAACGTGAAACTGACCCAGTCTACAAAAGAAACAGCTCACACAAAGGTGAGCTCAGCACTTGGGATCCCACACCTCTACTCCCAGCACTTGAGGCATATAAGATGGGAGCAGATATTCAGTCCAGGGCATTTTGGTCTCCAGCAATGTATGGGCAATTGGTCTCCAGTCACACTGAAGGCAGGGTGGCTTCCGCCTGGGTAGAGATGAGACCCAGTGACCCGGCTGCTTTGCTTATCTGACCAACAGCTTGAAGCCCAATGTCTATCTATGGGTTTTTATATTTTGCGTTACACACTTGCCACCCCAAATCTTTCAAGGGGTCCCCAGTATCAAAGAATAAGAATGTTTGTTATGGCAATATTCGAGGCCTACAGGAGATTTTCCATGAGGACAGTCTCCTCTCAAAATGTCTGTGTCATTTCTCTGCAATGTTTTGTTTTGTTTTGTTTTTTTGAGACAGGGTTTCTCTGTGTAGCTCTGGCTGTCCTGGAACTTTAGACCAAGCTGGCCTCAAACTCACAGAGATCCGCCTGTCTCTGCCTCTGCCTCCCGAGCGCTGGGATTAAGGTTGTGCGCCACCACCACTGCCACCAACCCCACCCTCACCCCACCCTCATCCCTGGCTTGTGTTTTTTCTTCTTCTTCTTTTTTTTTTTTTTTTTTTTTTTTTTTTTGGTTTTTCGAGACAGGGTTTCTCTGTATTGTTTTGGAGGCTGTCCTGGAACTCGTTCTGTAGACCAGGCTGGCCTCGAACTCACAAAGATCCTCCCTGTCTCCGCACCCCCCCCCCCAGTGCTGGGATTAAAGGCGGGCACCACCACCGCCGGTCTCCACCGCATCTTTGATGTATGAGCCATCCCGGGTTTCATGTCATCCTTTACGAATCTGGACGTTCCCATCCGATCTCCTTTCAGACACAGCCCGACCTGGACTCGAGAGCTACTTCACACGTAACCGGTGCGGCCTTCCGAAGTTGCCAAAGTCCGTGCGTGCCCTTAGCTTTTCTTCTTTTAGAAGGTGGACACAGGGGTCTTCCACGGGCAGGCGTGAACTTCCTGGCACACAGCCCACGCTCCTGGAGAGTCAGGCAAGCCGTTCCTCACCTTGTGTTTCTCTGCACGCTCATCCGCAGCCCAAGCCGGCAGGGCCACGTGCGCACAGCCGGGCCACTTAACCCTGGCAGATACAGACAAAAAAAAAAAAAACAGCAAACCCGCAGGCCACTCCACCTGTCCCTGCCCTCCCCTCCCATGGTCCCATGGCAGAGTCAAGATCGAAGGGAAGTCTATGTTTCAACTTTCTGGATGCTTTAATAAGGCTGCCGGCTCACCATGGATCTCATAAAAGCTGTTTTCCTTGTGATTAAGTTGTATTTGCCCCTTAACTGTGCGGTAAACAAGCCCTCAACTCCTGCCTTCTGGTTGGAGCGCCATTGCCTATTAACTGGGACTTGGAGGGTAGCAGGCTGGCAAGGCCACCGGGGACAGAGAGCCAAGCAGCCCGATTTGGTTATCAGTTCTGTTGACACGAGGGGAGCCGCATGTGGCTGTGGGGCATGCCCAGCGGGTCAGGCTGGGGTTTCTTTCCCCAGCTGTGAAAGGCCTGCTGTTTGGAACACTTGGCCTGTAACCAGGGGCGATCAGGACTCTTGCTGTGACCAGCCCACCAGCTCTGTGAGCAGCTGACACAGAGAAGCAGACAGAAACATGTCTGGTCCTAGACTGAGCTCGAAGCTGAGAGGCTGTAGTGACAGTGAGCCACCCTTCCCGACAGCCCCAGTCCAGGCAGGAGAAAGTCTCTCCTAGGACGCTGCTGAGGGGGTGTCACTTACCAGAGCTGGTTAGATACACAATATCTCTGAGAGAGGTGGCCAGAGGTCCAGATGAGTTGGACGGGTTTCTGGGGAAATTCCTGGGATACATGACTTGGGGAGAAATTGGGGCAGTGCCCAGGTGTAAGACTTGGTGTCCCCCCTCCCCCAGCCCACCCCTAGGGGCAATCACTGTCAATGTTGACTTATTTGCAATATCTTTTAATTATTTTAGCCAATGGAGTGTGTGTGTGTGTGTGTGTGTGTGTGTGTGTGTTACGGTGGGTGTGTGTGGCATGTGTGTGTTTTTAATAATCTGTGTGGTCAAGTACCAGTTCACAAGAGCCTTTGAGTTCAGGGAAGTCTCACCGCCAAACCCACACCCAAATATTTTGTAGATAACAGAAGCGCCATTGCTGGGCTGTGCTCAAGGGTACACAGACGAGCTTCTGTGGCTGGATAGTAAGGACCCTCAAGTGGGTACCCAGAGAGAGGAGCCTGCAAGAGAAACCACAGCGAGTCCTTCATCTGTGCCCTGTGGAGAAAATTCCACACCAAGCAGCCTCCCTCTCCTGAGCCCATGAATACAGGGAAGCACGCAGTAGGTGCGTTGTGCAGCGTTTGTTGAGCTCTGTCGGCGGGAGTCACTAAGCCTAGAGCTTGTGGCAGTTTGAACGTGAGATGTGTTTGAGAGCACTTGGTCCCCGGCCTATAGTGCTGTTTGAGAAGGCCTCGGAAACCTCTAGGAAACCTTCTGATAAGTGGGTCACTGGGGTGGGGGTGAGCCTTGACGTTTTATGGCTTGGCCCCCACTTCCTGTCTGCTCTCTTGTTTCCCGGCCGTGATCAGCTGCTTCATCCTGGTGCCGTGTCTTACCTGCCGTGCCCGCCAGCCATCTGGGAAGAGGAGATGTCAACTGAGAAAAATGCCTCCCTCAGATTGCTCTGTAGGCAACTTGGCAAGGAAGCTTCTTGTTTAACAGTTGATGTGGGAGGGCCCAGCCCACTTCGTGGTCCTGGGGTGTGTAAGAAAAGCAGGTGAGCTAACGGTGGGGAGCAGGCCAGCAATTGCAGTGTCTGTTGGCCTTGGTCACTGCGTCAGTTCCTAGATCCAGGTCCCTGCCTTGCTTGAGTCCCTGTCCCGGCTTCCTCAGTGGTGAACTGTGAGTGGGATGTGTAAGCCAAGTAAGCCCTTCCCTCCCCAAGTTGCTTTGGATCTTGGTGTTTATCCCAGCAACAGAAGAAAACTAAGACACTTATCATGATGGTGTCTTAAACTACGAGCCAAAAGAAGCTCTTCCTCTTTCTTGTCAGGGTTTGGTCCTAGCAACAAGAAGAGTAACTGATAGGGTTGTTCCTGCAAAGTCCCCATTTAGTCACACCAGGGCATCCATGCCAAGATGCAACGCAGTTAACACCAGCTGTCAGGAATGCGGCTGAGTCCCTCCCCTCACTCTCTCGGACTTTGGTATAGAGCTAACATGTCTACAAACGAATGTACGCCCTTAAATGTTTGTTGTTTGCGTGCTGCACAAACCCAGTTCAAAACAGATGGAGCATTTGTTGTCAGACGGTTTTATCCCACCAGGCACGGTGGTGCACACCTGTAATCCCAGCACTCAGGACTGGGGCAGGCGGCTCACAAACTGTAAGGCGACCTGAGATACTAGGACATGTTACAGCGTCCCCGCCCATTACAGAATGACACCTCCCGTCAAAGACACGCCTCGTGTCTCAAAAATACTCTTACCGTGTGTGTGAGAGAGAGAGAGAGAGAGAGAGAGAGAGAGAGAGAGAGAGAGAGAGAGAGAGAGAGAGAAGACAGACAATTCCAGGCGTCTGTGAGAGTGTGGGTTTGTGATGGCTGGAGACCTTCCACTCTTTCTGTCTTAGGAAACATGAAGAAGAAGAAGAGAAAACAAGCAACTGCGTATGCTTTTAAAATAGCAAGCATGGGGCAGAAAAGAGGGAAAGATGAAAGCCAGATGGCATCCACTTAAGCTTTAATAACTGGCTGGCGCTAGGAAGCTTGGAAGGTTCTAGATGAGCAGCTGAAGGGGTTGGCAGGTCCTGTTCACCAGTAAGAACGTGAAACAGAAAGACAGCATCATGTCTGCTCTGTGGGTCAGGCCTCTGCCTGGCCCAACCTAGTCACCCACGTCTAAGCAGCGTCTGAGACACAGGGGGCATACTCAGTAAACAGCTATTCTAAGATTCATTTTACTTTTATCTATGCGTCTGCGTGTGTTGGTATGCCCAGCTGCATGCCGATACCTACAGACACCAGAGGAGGGTAACCGGTCCCCCGGTGCTGTAATTGTAGGCGGTTGGAAGCCCCCTTTCTATATAGGTGCTGGGAACTGGACTCAGGTCTTCTGGAAGATCAGATGCTCTACACCGCTGGCCAACCTCCAGCCCCTCTCAGTGAATAACTTAGATGATGCAAAAAGGTCTTTGAGATCTAAAGAAAAGAGGAAATGGCTTTCAAGTGACAGCTGATAAGATGTAGGTGAACCTCACTGCCTGTGCCAAAGTTGAGATATCAAACGATGGTGTCCGTGCAAGCCATGAGGTTTCTGCACCCTGGGAGCTTATAAGGAACACGACCATCTAGATCATTCACTGAACTAATAAAATTCACAAAAGCTAAGCCATCGGAAATATAATCAACGAGCTGAAATTTCTGCCAGTAAAGTACTTGCCACAAAAAACATGAAAACTTGTATTCAGTCTCCAGCACCCACATATAAAGCCAGGCATGTAACTAATGCTTGTAATTCCAGTGCTGGGGAGGCAGAGACAGGAAGTGAACCCCAGGCCCCTGGAAGAGACTCTTGCCTCAAAAAGACAAGTGGCATTGTTCCTGAGGAACAGCATTCAAGATTGACCTCCTGCCTCCTACTCGCGTAAGCACACATGTATGCACCCGCATGAACACGTGTATGCATGGACAGTGTGCCTGTGTGTGGCTGAAAGATTTGCAGCAACTACACCTGGTCACGTGTCTCCCAAGGCCATTTTGCAGCCTCTCTCTTATGCATTTCTTTGTACTAGAGAGGCCTTGGCAGAGCAGTTCAAGTTCATGGGCCTTCCTACAATGGGCATGGGCGGCTGTTACAGTCTTCCATAAATCCCAGGGCCTTGCTTTGAAGTGATGACTCACAGAGACTATTTTGTCAGGCCAACTGGGCCGTAAAAATATTAAGTGTGGTTTTCAGCAGTAAAGGCCTTTATGATCTTACTCACTTCCTGCCATGGAGCATAGGATTAAACCGTACTTTGGAGCAATTAACGGCCTGCCTGGGATGCTTCACAGGGAATCCATTATTATACAGTCTAGAAACACGAATATAAACAGCGGGGTTCATTAAGAAATTGGAGGCGCTCAAGAAGTGTCCTCAGCAGCGAACTGCAAAGCGTGGCGTGTTGGAGCATGACGGTGCTGGGGCGCACGTTCTGTAGAACCCGGGGATTGAACCCGGGTCATCGGACTTGGTGGCAATTAGCCCCTGAGCCATCATCTCACTGGACCAATGTCAGAGTACTGTTGAAACGGGACAGTTTTTCACTTAGGCTTCTCGTGCCTCAGCAGGGCTAGATACTCCGCCAACAGCCGGCCGCAACCCTAGCTAATTATCCCCACTTTGGGGGCACTCGGCTTTGCAGATGGACCAACAATGGCCTCCACCCTGCGGGGCCACTAGATTTTAAAACCAGCAAGAAAAACAAAATCGCCTCCTGCCTTGGTTGTAATGAAGACTTCCACTTTGCTGGCTGGACCGTCTTTCCCAGCCAAACAGTGCACTCCGGTGACTTGCTGACTTCAGTCCGCCACTCTCAGCCGTGGTGTCTCCAGCAGCATGGTCTTCTCATAAGTGGGGTCCCGGGGGTTCCACTTTCAGACGAGGGGGGGAGAACTACAAACAGAAGTCCCTTTAGAGCCCCTCTGTGAATCCCCCTCCCCTTCCTCATCTTCCTTTCCATGCCGAGCCGTGGGCAAATGACTGGTACCAAAGCCACCTGAGCTCAGGACGTCTCATGGTAACCTGCCAAACACCGAGACTTGCAAACCATTATTGTCGGCACAGGGTGCAATCCCCCAGGCCTTGACCACAGCAGCCCTTCAAATATGAGGCTTTCACTCACGTTCCAGGAGAACAGGAAGTGCATGCATACACTTGGTTGGTGAGATTCAGATATACACCTGGTGCACACACCTGTTCCCTTTTAAATTCACATCGCGCGGTGGACCTATCTGCAGAAGTGGCCCCTGAAAGAACTTACATGAGGGAGCAATGTTCCTGGGGGGTCATTTTGCCCAACCATCACAACCTCACGCTAACTCCGTGTTATTTATACAAAGCACTCTGCTGGCAAAGCCAGAGACCGGATCACTCTGGGAAAACATTAGATTTGTGCTGATCCCGCTTGTAAGTGTTACTGTAATTTTCCTTTTCTTGAGCAAGCTGAACTGATTCTGTTTGACATGAGTCCTCTTTGGGGCCCAAGATTTCTGGGAAATCTCTTTGTGCGGTGCCAAAGCCTTGATTTAATTACCCTAACAATACGCAAACTTTTGAGGCTGGCTTGCCCCTGAGACTGAAATATGGATGTTGATCTAGATAGGAGCTTGGCTGGGAAGATTACAACTCGATCTGCTAAGAGGAGGACTTAGGCAAACATGCTTTGACTGTTCTCTCACTAGGGCAGACCTAAAGCTACAGGCTGTAAATCACTCTGACCCGCCCGGCAAATTCGAGATGTGGGACCAACCCTGTGTCCTCACAGGAACCTACGCTACAAAACTAAACATTTCCCCACTGGGGGAAAAAATGAATAATTACTCCAGGTATTTTTCTTAGAAAGAAATTATTCAAACTTGAGCAGAAAAAGACCAGCCATGGGCGACAGACTGGGAGAGTACTTTCTTCCTAGAGAGATTTCTTAATTCTGGCCCCAAACATCCCATGAGAAGCATTTTAGGGATGTTCTCCTGAAGAGGATTCAGGCAAGTGTTTGGTGGCAAGTGTTTTCTCCCCATGTGGACAGCCTGTACCCACCAGGCAGGCACGTTGTCATAAAAAGCAGCCTGCCAGAGGCCCTGGCACAGCCTGCTTAAAATCATTCTCTAAAAAGAAAGGCGAAGCCAAGGTATCCATTCACTTCTCCAATGCTATAAAATTATCGCCTGAACCATCAGTTATTTTTTCTTTGTTTGTTTGTTTGTTTGTTAGCTTTTTCTCTGCAGACACTCTTTCCCCGTTCTTTTGGCCCAGAACTGCTCAGGGAAAGGACACACAATTCCAGTTTGGACAATCCGACTTTCTCCACTCTGGAGCTGAACCTGTCCATGGGTGGTGTGGCCTTCACTGAACCAGAGCTGGTCTCTGTTCTGTTCTACAGAGACCCCTGATTGAAGGGGAGAAAAATTATGACAACTCTCCGGGGTGAACACCCCAACGCTCACACAAAATGTGGTGACGCAAAGAAGAGTAAGAATCCTCACTGCGCAAGCTTGAGGACCTGAGTTCAAACCCCCAGCACCCACATAAAAAGATGAGCGTGGTTGCACACAGGCCTGTAACCCCAGCACTGAGAGCGACAGAGACAGGAGGATCATTAGGACTTGCTGGCCACCAGCTCAGCTCAGGTTTCACTGAGAGCTCCCCCCCACCTCAACAGAGAAAGGCAGAATCTGATAGGACAAGATACCAGATGTCCTCTGGTGTCCACGGGCATGTACCCTGGCCTCTGCAGGCACGCATAGGTACATACACCTGTACTCACATGTGTGTTTACATAACACACACACACACATGTACACCATTCACGAGAGAGAGACAGAGACAGAGAAGAGATCCAGTCCCAAGTATTAACTACAAAAGTATTTCCAATCCCTTCTTAAAATAAGAACAACAAAAAATAGAAGGGCTGGAGAGGTGGCTCAATGGTTAAGAACACTTTCTGCTCTTGCAAAGGACCCGAGTTCATTTCCCAGAACCCACATCAGGTAACTCACAGCTGCCTCTAACTCTAGCTCCAGGGAATCTGATGCCCTCTTCTGGCTTCCATGGGCACATGTACATACATGCAGACATACACATAAATAACTTTTAAACAAATGTTTCATAAAATGGGGAGTAGAAAACAATACATATTTTCTGAGATTAACGTAACCTCCATAGCCTTGAATCTCCTGGTCACCTCTGTAAGCAATTTATCTCGGAGGCGGAAGGACAGCTTCAGGAGGTGGGAAGCAAAGAGGACTTTGAGCTGCAAACCCCTGAAATCCCAGACTCCAAGGCACCTGTGGCGCGGAAAGCCTTCCTGAGCATCTCTCTGAGACGCCAGCCCTGTCCCCACCACAGGCTCTCCTAGGGAAACTGAGCCCAGGCTCCCAGGGTGCAAGGAGAAGGGCGTGCCTTCTCCGCGGAGGACGGGTGATGCTTCCTTCCCATCTTCCCCTCGCTGAGGTGGCGGTGAGAGCAGGAGCCCTGGTGCAGGAAAATGTCCACATTCACCACGTGTTGCTGCCATTCATCACGTGTTTTCCTTCTCATGTAGAGGCTGCTTTTGAACATGGATCTATTTTTAGGGTTTCTGTTTACTTAGTACCTCTCCAGAATACCAAGGCATATTTAATATGCATGCTTATGGAAATGTAATTTTCTGGAGGTGATTTTAACTCGGAAATGTCCTCTTACCGTGCTGCGTTTAGTTCACTAAGTCCTTTTCTGCAGCTGAGGGTCGGACCCCAGGCTCTGTACTAAGCGTTTGCTTTGCCCCGAGTGGTGACCCCACCTTCTTTGACAATTCTTTTAAAGATTTATTTTTATGATTTTTAATTATGTGTAGGGATGTGTGTGTGATGTGTGTATGTATGTGATGTGTTATGTGGCGTGTGTGTATGTGTGAAGTGTGTATGTATGTGATGTGTTATGTTATGTGGTGTGTATGTGTGTATATGTGTGTGATGTGTGTATGTATGTGATGTGGTATATGGTATGTGTGTGTGATGTGTGTATGTATATGAGGTGGTGTGTGTGTATGTGATATGTCTGCACGTATGGACCTGCATGTGAAGCAAGTGTCTAAGGAAGCTAGGGGTGTGGGACCCCCCTGGAGCTGGAGTTATAGACAGACTGTTACAAGCCCTGTGGTGTGGGTGCTGGGAAGTGACTGGCCCTCTTCAGAGCTGAGCCATCTCTCGCTTGATGCTTTATGAAACAATGTAACAGAAGACCCCAGTGTTGACTGAATTAAGTGCAGGTTGGATATTTTCATTATGTCCCTATAATATGATAAATGCAGCTTTCCACTTCTAAAGATGCTGACCTTAATTTTTAAAATGGCTTTGAACTCCAAAACCATTTCCTGGATCTCGTTATCCAAGTACTCCAAAGTCAAAGCACAAAAAGGTATCTGCCAGTGCAATAGGACCAGAGTCTGGTGATCCTGATGTCAGAGACAGAAGGCCAGGGCCCTGGGGCACAGCTTTGGGCCTTATGGCTGCAATTGCTGCTTCAGGAAAATCATTAGCATCTTATGATTTCATTAACCTTTGATCCGATTCTGATGGATTGGAAAGTTAATTTAGATTTTAGTCAGAGTATTTTCTGTAAGTAGCTAAAAACTTGTCTGCAATTGCCTGTTCTCATCTTTCTCCCAGAACAGCAATTCTGAACTCTCAGATGTCTATCTTTCAGGACTGATCTTGTATGTCAACCTTTTAACTGATGGTTTCATCCATAATTTATTGACTTCTATCTACTTCTCCGTTTTCAAATACTCAGTCTTTCCACTGGTTTTGATTTCCCACCAAGATAATTTGTTGTTTGAATGTGAAATATGCTCACAGGCTTGTGTGTGTGTGTATGTGTGTGTGTGTGTGGTGTGTGCATGCATGTGTGTCTATGTGAGATGTGTGTGTTTGTGCATGCGTACATGCGTGCATGCGTGAGTGTGTATGTGATATGTGTGGTGTGTGTGTATGATGTATCTGTTTGTGCGGGCATGCACACGTGCGTGCATGTGTGTGATGTGTATGATTTGTGTGTGATGTGCGTGGTATTGTGTGGTATGTGTGCATGCATGTGTGTGCATGCATGTGTGTCTGAGATGTGTGTGTGATGTGTATGTGATGTATATGTGCGCGTGTGTGTGTGTTATATGTATGGTACGTGTGTGTGATGTGTGTGTGATATGTATGGTGTGTGTGTGATGTGTATGTTTGTGCGTGTATGCTTGGGGGTGTGACCACTTGGTCCCCAGCTGGTGGAGCTGTGTCGGAAGGTTGGGGAACCTTTAGGAGGCAGAGCTTTGGAGGAGTGGGTCTCTGAGGTGGGGCTTTCAGTCTCATAGCCTGGCTCCAGTTCTGTCTGCCAGTCCGCACAATGTGACCACCTGCTTCCTGCCTTTGCCACCATGATGGACTGGATCCACGCCTAAATCATGAGTCAAAACAATCCTTCCTCTTAAGTTGCATTTGCCAGGCATTTTCTCTCAGCAGTGAGGAGAACGACCCACGTGGGTAGGCTGTGGTGGCTTTTCCTGTTGTGCGTTTCCTTCTCCTGGAAGCGATATCACTCCAGAGATTTCATCCCTTCATCTGCCTCATTTCCTAAGATCACATGATGAGGTCTTCTCATACGGTCTTGAAAAGTTAAGCAGGAAGTGGTATGTGGGCCGAGGGGTTTGCTCAGATGGAGAAATGCTTGCCTAACAAGCACACCCTGTTCCTTTGCCTAGCACACATGAAGCCCTGGGTTTGAGCCACAGCACATATAACCCAGTCATGGCAACACATGCCTATAATCCCATCTCTGAGAGTCAGGGGCACTGAGATCAGGAGTTTAAAGTCAGCAGTTACATAGTTACATAGCAAGTTACATAGTATTTCATAG